TGTCTTCTGCATATGCATACGACAGTTTACCATACATCTTCTAAACCATTCAGGTTTGGCTTGGCGAGACTTCGAGGCATATATTCCCTGTTGCATCATCTGCCGTTGTACTCAAGTCTTCGTTATAATTGGGGTTCACGACTAGGGCTAGGCTTAGTGCATGAGAAGTTGGCTGGAAGGAATTCGTAGATTGGCCTCACCTGAAACCGAATCAGAATTGCCTTGGATTTTCACTCTGACAACGTCCGCCACGGAAGGGACGAAGGCAAGCTAAACACGGATTCATCGGATTCGCATGACGGTGAGCCGATGACGTCTTCGCACAATCCAGCAGTCATTACTGCAAGGCAGTCCCGCTTCGGCTTCGGGTGAGGCCAATTCACGAATCTCTCCTAAGCAACAATTTCCCATAAATGATAATTCGAGTCACACCAAGTAGACGAAATGCCGGATGAGATTATCAGTCAAAACACCGGCCCAGGCTATATTGGTTGCTAGGGCAATAACACGGCTACAAGAGAGTGTGGAAGAAAGCAACAAGACCCACTTCAAAGGCCTGCCTGTCGCATGTGCTCGGGAAAATAAGGCATGGGGACAAATCGCACTTCATTCCTGTGGTAGTCATGTGTTCCTCGAATGCTGAATAGGTCTGTTCATACTTCCATCGGTATCGCTAGTGTGAACGGCTAACATCATTAATCTCATCAGTACACCAGTAATACTACAAACGGTTCGATGCTGGCAGAAGACATGGCAACAACACCAGAGAACGTTCTTTGAAGTTTCCATGACAACGCGACCGAGTCGTAAAAGCCGTCTCAGATCACGAGAGGAGACTGCGCCAACCATCTCGACCGTCACTTTAAAGAGGATATGATTAGACATGTTTTTTCTGGTTGAATGTTAGTGCTGATTGGTACCTTTAATATCATTCTCTTCTTGAACAATTAATAGAGGCGTACTTATTCCTAGTGAGATAGGCAGATTTCAATAAGCCTATTTTAGGGTTACATAAAGAGGGTTTGGTGGTTTTAATGTGATTTGCTTCCGGTGATCACGACATGCTTGATATTAACTGGAATCACTTCAGGTGATGGAAGGTGTGGTAGTCGTGTTTCCGGCAATTATATTGGTTATCTTGGTGAGGATTGGATTGCCAATCTACCCTATTGCCCACGGTTTACACGATTCTGTTTCAAATGCCATTGGGGGTGTTGATGAAGACCTGGTCTTGCGGGCTGGATAAGAAAGTATTTGGGGACAAGGCTAAGTGGAATTCAGTAGCGTGGAGTCTTCTACTTATTTAATTGTGGGAACCTTAATTATATCTCAATGGCCTAGACTTTGTTTCTATCCTGGCTCAAGGCGGTCAATTTGTCTGTTTGCTTGATCGGCTCACAAGCCCACTTTAGCTCTAATGGCCAGCTCCGGAAGCTAAATTGGGTGGACAATCTCGGTAATGGTTGGCTACCATGTCTCGAATACTCGCCAATTCGTGACGGCGACCTTCGAGTTATTCTCCCGACATTTGTGCATGAGTGAGAAGTTTGTAACAAACATCCACCCCTACGAAGTGTATCTGGCAGATCCAGTCAGAATGGAATAGCGAAAGCTGTTGTAGCAAAGAAATCTGACGCAATCCTACATTTGAAGTACACCCAGAGGGACCGGCAGAAGGGTATAGCGGAATCCGGCGGGTCGTGCCCTCGTCTCCACGATGTGTTGGCCTCTTCGCGATCGCTAGAATGAATTTGAGACACTTGAGTGTTTCATGGTTTCTTGTATGAACTCCACGACTTGAGAAGCCATTATTTGGAGTTGAGCAGTTGTTATGCCGGTAACGGCCCTATCGTTTCAATGCTCATCATTTCAAATCGTCAAGCCATTAATCTTGGCGATAAACATGCTTTTTCTCAATGTTCCACGTGTGTAACCTGTTCTCCTTACACACTTGAATACATTATATTATTTATTATCCAATATTTTGTGATTTTGTATTCCATTCTTGTTATATAATCTGTGAGTATCTATAAATACAGTGACGAGTAACTAGACAGCAAATGCCAGCATTTTACAGTTGCACAGCTGACCCTTCCGCGGTAGCATAAGAACTTCTGCTCCACTCCCCTTACAGCTGCTGATGGCTGTTGCTACAGCTGCCGCCTTTTGTGGTCCACGCAAGAATGTATTCCGGTTTACCAGTTTATCTCCTCTGACTACGTACGTGCGCACGCGACTTTGCTTGTTTCCGTGTCCACTTGGTTGCATTTTCGCCCACCAGCTTGCTTGCCGCCCCTTCCGTCACCTGGGGGAACTTTGTCGTCTGGATGCCGAATGGCCGCAACATATGGAGTAATTAGTCACGTCACTGTTTACCCACATTCAGTTGTACCATAGTTCGGCGGTTCTTGCTGATCTTAGCCAAAGTAATTCAGGGGTGGGCTTGTGATTGCAGCTAGGAGACAAAAGGGGGCTCTAGCAGGGTATAGGCCTTCTTGGTTTACTGGGGTCTGGGCAGGAGAACCGATAATGTTGCTTCCTTTAGCAGGTCGGGTTTGTTTTGTACATACTGCATTCATATACTGTGCCCCGAAATATAGTTTGCCGAAATGATAATACTTTCCCTGAACAAATATCCATTCCATCCGTAATTCATTTAGTCATTTTTAACAAAGTACATGCTATGTTTATAATTTTAAAATAATCTTCGATAATTTATTGGCACTCATTGTAGCAAAAACGTATCGGCAGACCAACTCTCGGGAATAGTATATGTAAGCCTATCATTGTGTATATCCAAGCCTGCTTATATTATTTGTATGACTGTATTTGTGCTTGCAACACGGCTCGGATGCGTCCTTTCAACTTAATTTAGTCCCACTACTACAATACATCAGAGCAATATGCTTCCTTCGAGCTGTTCACTTACAACATAGTCGCCAACAGATATTCGGTCTGTAATCAACATGTTTGGACTTTCAGAATTTCCAGGTATGGCAACCTCTTCGTTATGCAGAACTTGAGTATGCTACCATTTTAGTGAGTATGGCAAAGGAGCCCTTTTTTAATGGCGATATCCTGATTCTTGAAGATTGACCCATAAATCCCCAAACCTGACGTGAAATGTTTGATGCCAACTCGAAAGTGTTGCAAACAAGTGTGGCGAGAACGGAGTCTTAACTTGGGCAAGTTAAGCATGTTGAACGCTTTAGTCACCAGGCGATTTGATATCATAAGGAAATTTGAAAATTCAATTATAGGACGAGATTTATTAGAGCCTATCTCTGCAAGGATACATTTTGGTATACACGTTTAGGCATTCACAACCACAATGTTGACTATTGATATAAAAGTCATCCACGTAACTGTGAGCTTCTTTGCCTATAAAGTCATGCTTTTCATTTAGCTCAAGGAGGCTAGAATGGAAGGACTTCAAGGAAAGTGTTTGCTTTGAGGACCAAGTCCAATGTAAACTTAGTCTAATCGGAACTTTTATTTCGTATGTAATGTCGAATGGAAGGAATTTGTAACTTGGCCTCTCGGGCACCCCTACTTCACCCTCATACGTATGATTATAGAGGAAATGAGTACATAGCTTATTCTTATTCAATTGACTCCCTTCGTTACTGGCTATGGCATCTAAAAAGGTTGGCCTACAGTCCTTTAACAACTCCATAGTGAATTCAATCGTCCGTGTACCGAATCAACAACCGTTTAAGAACCACGAAATTCGTGATATTAGGCATAGCCTATTTAAGATTAAACCGCCTTATTTGACTCTAGAGCACCGCATACTACACCATACTTGCAACCGTACACCAGAACAGACATCAACTTTGCCAGATCCGGACCTACTTCATGCATCCAGCATGTAGGATACGCGTGAATATGAAATTAAACAACTCAGGGTAGTCTTTGCCGGTCAGCGAATCACTGTCTTGACCAGGAACCGTTTAACTTTTGTAAACAGGGATCTAGAAGGAAAGGTACATTTTCTGCATTACTTACTGGACCTTTTCCTCAATTGCCAACTTTTGTGGTGCTATTATGTTTACCAGACCAGTGAACCACATCAGTAAAATAGCAAAATTAGGTTATCTTTAGTGGGCAGGTTACAGCCGACTTATTGTTAGGCTCAGTTTGATAAAAAATGAGGGTTTCTGTCACGCCGCACAATTAGCTCGTCAAGACTTAATCGGAGTCGCAGGAAGGTGCCCCAGAACTTGTTCGCTCTGATCAGCAGTCGCAACTGCAAAGCAATTTTCCATGCTGAGGCCAGTCTACGAATC